GTTGGACCAGATGACCCACGGCGGCCCATTCCAACCTGGCCCATTCTATGATTCTGTGAAACACACGTGTCCCTTGCCCACGAGAGCGCTGCCCGCGGCAGTGGCCGGCAGCACCGACCCTGAGGGGCCGGGCAGGGCGAGGCTGCCGCGCCGGGCCCCGCGCCCCCGGCCCCGCCGCCCGCTCCCCTCCCGCCCGCGGGGGCGGAGGAGCCGCGCAGGGACGGGGCCCGGGGAGCGGCCGGGACTGACCTGTATTTCTTGAAGAGCTGGTCGGACTCGCGGAAGCCGTTGTTCAGCAGCATGTTGATGCCGGCCAGCGCCAGCTCCGAATCCTCGATGGGCAGCGGCGCTTCCCCGTCCTCCCGCTGCTCCGAGCCGGCCATGACGATGAGGAGGCAGCGGGACCCAGCCGACACTCCCCTACCTTACTACCTACGTACCTACCTACGCACCCAAGTGCCTACCCGCCCAGCCTTTCCCGGCAGCCGGTGCCTGCGGGAGGAGCCGGGGGCGCCCGGTACCCGCGGAGCCGCGAACTCGGCGGTGCCGCAGCCGCTCCGCAGCCGCGAACGCGCCGAAAGCGGCGGCGCCTGCCCCGCGGCCCAGCGCGCAGGCGCCGCCACGAGGCCGCGCAGGCGCGGGGCCGCGGCGGGTGAGGGGCCGGGGGCGCAGCGGCGGCGGGGCGGCTCCGCCCGGGGCGGGGCTGCGCTGACGGCCCCGAGCGCGGAGCCTTCAGCCGCGCCTTGCGGGTCGCGGACTGCCGTGGTTTGGAAGGGATCCGCGAGGGTCTTCGAGTTCAACTCCCGTCCCTGCGCAGACACCCCAGAAATCTCGCTATGCGCTTGAGGGCATTGTCCAAAGGCTTCTTGAGCTCTGGCAGGTTTGAGGTTTGATGCTGTGACCACTGCCCTGGAGAGCCAGTGTCCCAGTACTCAAACACCCTCTGGATGAAGGACCTTTTCACAAAATCACAGAATGAACTAGGTTGGAAAAGACCTTTGAGATCATCAAGTCAAACCTGTGACCTAACACCTCCTCATCAACTAAACCATAGCACTGAGTGCCACATCCTCATCTTGCTTTGCTGTCCGGCACCACACAGGCACATGTGGCTGCCACTCACCTCCTGCCCTCCACAATCCTGTGGTTTCTTGCAAAATCCACTGCGGTTTTTAATGGTGGGTTGTACCAGCTGAGGCTGCAGCCAACCCTAGAGTGTGAAGAAGAGAAGTACAAAGTCCTCCTCTGATAGATAATGTGGCTTTCAATTTCCAGAGAATTGTGGTTTTGGTTTTTTGGTTTTTTTTTGTTTTTTTTTGTTTTTATTATTATATGTGGTTTTATTCAGTGACTGCAGTCACTAGAACAGAGAGTAAAAGTTCCTCTTTCATACAATGGTGACTTTGTGACCTCCTCAGTGCAAGTCTGGGAAACAAGGTTTCTAGGAATTTGTTCTCAATCTCTTTACACATGCCTTCATGATTTGCAATGTGAATTTACCTGTGATGCTGACTGCAAAAATCAGTAATTGCAAGTTTTTTTCAAATACAAGCTAGTCTGGCAGGCATTTCCAAGCACAGTTTGGGTGAGAAAGTACTCTTGTGTAAATGTATCCATTCTAACCCAAAATGGCCAAGTACTTGGACACTGAAAATACACCCATGTTGTTTCTGTCCTTCTTTGCAAGAAGAGGCTTTTTTTGCTGTGCTTAAATTTAGCTGCATACGAAGGCTAATACCAACAACCTGCTCTTGCTTCCTGACAGCTAGAAGAGTGCTACAGTTGCTCTTGAGAAAAATTTAAGACTCAGACGTCCATCACCTCCCCTTTGTAGCATACAAAAGGATGGGACCAAACACTACTTTTAGTAGCAACCTCTTTTCCCTGTCAAGCAAAAGGTCTGTTTTCCCTTGAATCAAGTTGCCATGTTTCCGTACATGCCTTGTGGGAATTGCTACCACCCCCTCGGGAAATACTTTGTACCAATAACTTCTTGAAACAACAATTCTTGGAAGGTGTGGATTGCCTAATGCCGGGAGGCTTCTGCAGCCTGTCAGGTGTGAATCGCATCCTTTGGCTGATTTCCAGCCCTTCTGTTTCACTGAGCATGGCTGGACACTCACGGGGTGTTGAAAGAGGACACATCTTCAGTTTCAATGCACATCCCCAAAATGGTATGGTCTACACAGCCTAGAAATCCTAAAGGGCTTCTAGAAAGTCAGCACAGCATGAGTAGGGAACAGTGTATTCTCTAGTGTGTTTACAGGTTATTTGTGAAATTTGGACTCCAGAAATGCAAGCAGCCTCACCAAAAGAAAATCGCAAGTTGCGGTTGCACTGCCCTTATTCTCTGTTTCAAGACGCTGCATTCCAAATGAAAACAATTACTCCTGTAATATTATCTGCCAGGCAGGATTCTGTGGGCAGGGGTTAATGGTGGAGCAGTTTATTATATCCTTTCACTTTGTCAGATGCAATCAATCAAGAGGCAATGAATCTTCTTGTGGATTTCCTGAAAACTTGTCATAGGCTAACTCCTACCTCCAAGTACTATTTCTGAGGAGCAGAAAGGAGCCAAGTCCTTTGTGCAACACCTACTCCATTTCTCCAATGCTACACTCCTATTTCTTTGCCCCTGTGTTTGAGTAATAGCATTGCAGGGCTATGTGTTTCCTGCAGGTTTGGGTCACATGCACAAGAAGCTTGAATTCTTCTGAGATCATCTTTCTAGTACCCAGTTGCTCCAGACCTTGCTGAGGG